GAGCAGAACAATCCTGATCGAACCGCGCCATCCCTAAATATCAATCAATAGCCAAACATATAAGAATTAATTAAAATAAATATTTTATGATTACTATAATTATATCAGTATTATATATGATTATAAGGCTTTTTACTCATGTGCTTTGTAAACTTTCGATTTTGTCAAATAAATTATAAATAAATTTAACGCACAGGCAGTGAATGATGATTGGCCGATTACTTTGAGGAATGTGACCGCGTTGAACGGCTGCAATAAAGCTGACAAATGAATCAACCTTTGGAACAGGTTCTGCCTTAGACCACTGCCGAAACTCGAAGTGCAGAATCTCTTGTACATCATTGTCCTGAATTGAAAAAGAAATACAACATATTAAGCCAATGAAATTATGGACGGCCCACACTATTTTCAAATGTTCCAAATAGAACCGTTGGTTATAGGATTTAAGAGGAAATATTCATGAACATTTTGGTGCCGAGTGTCAGAAGAGAATCTAAGTAGGCCTAACTTTTAATTCTGACATTAACTTTAATAACTGACATTTTTACGCATTTTAATGGGTTTTATGCAGTGGTGTCAAAAAGTTTGTGCGGCCCTGGCGCTGACTGTTTTGGGCCCCTCTAATAAGTGAGCAAAGAGACGCTGGGGGCCAAGGGACGCTGGGGACCAAGGGACACGTAGGGCCCGCAGTCGGAGTCAAGGCCCCTGGTAGGGGTCCGAGGGGCCTTTTGTGCTCAGAGCTGACAGCATGTCATTTATGAACTGTTCAACTGAGTTAACAGAGAACATAGAATGGTCCATGACTGATGAAATATTTCAGACAACATAGATTACATAGGCCAACTTTCGGAACTGGTATAGGCCTACAGTAGGCCTAGTACTCTATGTATGTGTAAATAAATACAAAGAATATTTTAGTGAAAAACAAAACATGTTTTCATAATAAATATACAATGCAAAGCAGATTGATCACAAAATCAGAAGCAAATTTCAAACATCAGAGCCCAGATTTTATTGCTTAAAACTGTTAGGGCCCTGTTGAATAAAACTATGGTATTATAGTTTATATTATATATTTTTTGAACTACAATGTGGGGCCCCTCGTGCCTGGGTGTTCTGGCGCTCTGTCCCGTCAGCGCCCGAGCGTGATGCCACTGGTTGTATAGCAATTGGAAAAAATGAATAAAAAGTGTATTAAAACTTTTTTACGTAGCCACTAAAAATAAGATGAGAGTTATATTTGAGTAAATGAAGTATGTGCACGACCTTCTGTAGCATGATTTTCCGTTCGATCATAAAGTCGTTCTGCTCAGACGATTTGATGCTAATGGTAAATTTATCAATCTTCAGCTCTTCATTCATCCGTTGAGGAAGGTATGCGGCGCAAGTTTCGTCTTTGTCATTCAGTTGTACGATTATGTCAGTCTTGTAATCTAACACTAAACGCCAAAAATCAACAGTAGTGTCAGCAGGCTCAGACATTGGGGCCTGGGCGACAATAAATGCGTTTTTCTTGTTGTAGCCCTGTAATGTAAAACAAAACAGATATATTCTTCAAATACAGATTGTGGAATGTGGCTATTATTTTTTATTTGAGATTCACATGAAATGACACAGTATTTGATAATGGTGATGATAATAATGATAATAAGGATAATAATGATAATAATAATAATAATAATAATAATAATAATAATAATAATAATAATAATAATAATAATAATAGTAATAATAATAATAATAATAATAATTTTTTATTCGAGATTCACATGAAATGACAAAGTATTTGATATTGGTGATGATAATAATGATAATAAGGATAATAATAATAATAATAATATTAACTAGAAATTGCAAATTGCAAGTGAAGTGCTGCGAAGTACAACTGCATAAAATGTTCTTTGAACAAAATTATTTATGCGAGTCAAGTGAAAATAATGAATAATAAAAATATAACAAATAATATGAGCACGACCCATTGTCTATATTAGAACAGCGTTGGTACCGTGTACAATAGTGTTTTGCTGCAGTGACATCTCTCTGCTGGCGACTCACTGCTGCTGCTGGCGATGACTCGCTGCTGGCGAATCGATCTGCACATGTGTATAAAATGGCATTTATTTCCGAAAACACTATGCCAGTCTACAACAAGCGTCGCCTAAATGTAATAATTAGCACGTTGAAATAGGCTAGTAAATAAGTTTAACTGGGTTCGTAAATAAAATTGGCCTCAAAATATTGTGGCTGAGATATGAGCCGATTAAACGTAGAAATAGGAAACCTAGAAATATAGTAAAAACGCTGAATAGTACTCCAGCGTCGCGACATGCCGACGTTGGTACGAGTAGGTTAGTCTACAAACGTCGCCTAAAGTAATTGATTTTACCCGGCAGAACGAAAGAAGGAAACTCCGCTTTTCAGTTGTCTTGGGCGATAGTTTTTTGACAAACAATGACCTTTCAGAGGTCAAATTGCTGTCAAGAACATGAATTGGCTGCTTCGCAGCAATAATAATAATAATAATAGTTTAGAGAACAAAATTAAATAAAATATGCAGTTTAATAATGATTTACTCAGAAAGTTTTACTTACGTTGCAGAATGATGCGTTAATGTAATCATTTCCGTTGGCGCATGGAGTCATCAAGAAAGGACGAGCTTTATTTACTTTATAAGATAAATGAATCAAGATACAACTTATTTAAATAAATAGATAAATAAATGAAACATAACTATTCGACATAACCTATCATAATAATAATCTGTTATAAGTATGCATTTGATAATTTTGGATATAGATAACAATTACTAAATAGAAGAACTTACGTGGTAACACAACTTTGGAACGATTCTTCAATATGTTGTCGGGAAGCCTGGCATGTGATGTACGATCATCAGTAGGACGCGGATATATACTGTTTAAAGTCTATAACAACAAACGTTGTATTAATAATTTAACCTTTTTGTATATTTCAATCGTAAGGCCTAAACCTGTGATAATAAATGAATTCGACAATAGTATGAAAAAAAAGTGTCTTATAATTTTAGAAGGGTAAATCTGCTTTGGCCGATTGTTGTTTTGAGTGGCTTAATGTTATGCTAATGTGTCTTTACATAAGGTGTACACATGCTAAGAAGTATATTGAGAAAAGCAAGATTGGATATATCATGTCTTTCCTGTTTTAAACGAATAGATTCTCTGCATTTCTCACCTAAAATATACAATATTAGCATCAGTGGATAATATATTTTAATTTATATATATAAGTAGTAGCCTAAGTGTATGGACTAAGTTAATGCACTATGGATTGTGATAATTCAATAATTTTGATGTTGGCCTAATTTATGTATTAATATTATATTTTTGATTAATTAATTGAATAAATGCTACTCGAAATGAATGAAGGTATAACATGATGTCCTGAGCGCTCGTTATTAAGTCCTAAACAGTATAATTGGCCTACATCAATGTAAAATCAAATTAATATGTAAACTGCTTTCTATATTAACCAGTTGATGATTTTATTGATAGATCATGATAAAAGTTCTTGAAATGAAAGACTATTTACAAAATGTGCACTTATATCACAATGATTTTTCTCTTAAATTTGTTTTTATTATATTCCAATATTTATTATATAGTCCAATATTGAAAATGCTTTTAACAAAAGAGAGTAACTGACAAATAGATGGACAGGAAATTGAAAAAGAAGATTACTAAAGCACTTGTATGGAGTGTGCACTATATGGTTATGAAACCTGGACAATGAGAACAATTGAAATAGATAGACTGGTTTTTCAAATGCGGACATTGAGAAAATTATTTGTAAAAACAAACTAACAAATGAACAAGTACTTAAGAGAGTAAATGAGAAAAGAACTTTAATAGCTACAATAAAAGACAGAAATAAGAAATGGATCGGAAGTATAAGTAGAGGATATACAGTCTTTGGAGAGATATTATTGAATGAAGTATAGAAGGAAAGCGGCCTTGAGGTAAAAAGAGAGTAAAGGTTTTAGATGATATAAAGGAAACAAATGAAAGCTATACAATCATGAAAAAGCATATGATAGAAAAAATTGAGAAATTAACTGTTTTCAGCATGCAAGTAGACAGAAAACAAGATGATGATGATCATAGTAGTCTCATTATTGGGTTTTTAAAACTGTATAGATCGTAACTAAATTAGAAAAAAAAAACTGAAATTCACATATTACAAATGACCAACAAACTATTTGAGGCTCACCAAAATAGCTTTTGAAACTTGATGATTTAGATGGTATGTAAAGGGAAGTTATCTATTATGAATACATTAAAACATGAGACACTATTCCTGAGATTGGTGTTTTTTTTTCAGAGTATCAGTTACTATATTAGTACTAGGTCACTATTCAAGTACAATAATCACTGACAAATATTAACCTACAGTATACACGATTCTTGTGTTGGCAATCCATACGAATAACAGTACACATTATGATAAAATATTTATGTTGTTTTCAGACTAAAATATTAGGTCATTAATGGTATTGATAGAGCTGGGGTGGATTGCTATAAGATTGTCTTAACTGGTAATAATAATAACAATAATAATAATAATAATAATAATAATAATGATGTAGTTTTATATAGCGCACATATCCATCTAATGTAAGATGCTCAGGGCGCTTGATATGTGGACTAGGAACTTGATCAATGACTTTCTTTGCCCCTAAGCGTCCCTTCGTGTCTGTGCTACCCGGTACCAGCAACTCTTGTCATCCACCACTGGGGCTGTCTGTTCCAGTACACCGGGGTATCCCCCTACTCGTCTCGAAGGATGTACTGGGTTATTTATAGTGCACATGAGCCATTGTATACACTGGGCCTACGGTTTATAGTCCTTATCCGAGAAGACTTGTTCTACCACCAGAACCATAGGCGAGCGTGCCATTTGAACCAGCGCCGATATTATGGCTATAGCTTGCAGCGCCCCTGCTAACCGCTCGGCCATTCGACTCACCAGTATTCTTAACTCCTCGAATAAAGCCGGCTTTATCACTTAGACGGTCTTACAAAGTCATTCCTCTAAAGCAACTCTCACATTATAGCGACCTAGCGCTGCGACCATACCAACCTGTGGTCGAATCCGACTGGAAGTAGGACCTGCCCTCTAGTCATTTATTGGTTTAAAGCAAAGATCTTATAAACAAAAGATAGCGTTCTCCGCTTTGCGTAACAAATAGAAGCGTCGATTTGGCACAGAAAAGTAATCAGTTTGGGAGAGGGCGTCTTAGTCGTTGCCATGGATCTGTGATAGGGTGTTCGTGTTACGCCAAATTTCGTTACTAAGTACGTTAATTTGTTCCTTATGTTCTAAAGAGAGGGCGCATTGTAAATCGACGCTTCTAATTGTTACGCGTAAAGGTAAATTCGAGCAGTGTACGGTATGGTCAGAGCGTTCAAGGGTCAAAAGTTTCCAATTTTGCAAGAGGGCGCCATTCATGCGTTATTACAAAATTTGCACACGTAAATCGTGGAGAACACTATCTTGTGTTTATAAGATCTTTGGTTTAAAGTAATAATGGCCACTTAGCCAAATAATTACACATGTGAGAACGACTACGACTGCCTTGTCACGAGCAAGTTGTTCTTAGCTCCTATCACACTATCAAGACTTGGCCACGACGGTGCCGGTCGTGTATCAATCGCAGTGTAGGTCTTGATAGTGTGAGAGTAGTTTCTGACCATTGCTATAAAACAGTCTTCCCTAAGACCGCTTTAGGTATTGAAACGCAAACAGCACTCCCTGGTAACGCAAGATTGAGGGTGACGTCATGTGTGCTCGACACACGCAAATGTATCGAAATTAACACAAAAAAACCACCGTAGACGTATTACAGATGCTGAGAAGTGTGCAGAGTATTCGTCGTTTGATTCTCCGACTTTGACGATCTAGGCCTAGGTCTTGCCATTGCACTGTTGAATTAATCAGCAGAACGCCATGATGAAAATGATTTAAGACTGTTCCAAGCTCTCTCCGAGTAGGCCTTAAAATTTAAGATGGCTAACTGGTTGACCGCAGCAATGGTCTATAACCACAGACCAGCAGTGACGTCACGATTAGAGCTGGCTAACCGTTGATACCGTCTAAAGACCGCTTATAGTAATCCACCCCTGGTCACAGATGGACTACTTACTAAAATGTTTTATATGTAAATGTATTAACCAATAAAGTTGCTGCAACGTTGTGTAGACGCCATTTTCTGACATAACAACCAAAACGTTTAGAGTTTGCTGGGTAACATGTAAAATTTATTCATATCTACATCTTCTTCTGTATATTTGCGACGCAAGTTCGTATGTCTGCACCGCACTGTACATATATAAAATATAAACATTCCATTCATGTATCTTTTTATGTTACCTGCAGTGTACTATGACTGGTCCACTGTCGCTTGGAGAATTCTGCTGTGCTGTTCTAAACGCGTAGATGAAGTCAATCAAATGTGGAACAGCGCGGGGAACACTCTTATCTGGCCAATCAGTGAAATGATATTGAAAAACATTATGTACCTCTTCTGTCCCAACCTTCAACGTAAAACAATCAGATATGTCAATATATAAGTTTTTTTTTTCTTAAACGCAGATATTTCATAAATCTTACTTTTCATTATGTATTATTCTTATCAACCAAAAAACAGAAAAAGCAAATTGTCATTAGGATTAGAATACGAAGCAATTTCAATACATATAATTTTATAAAAAAACTAAACAAGTTTTCAATGATTTTGATATTGATGACAAGGTTGATAATTTGAGAGAACAAACCTTCTGAAGTTGTAGATTTCTAACCACAAAATGTCCATATTTGGTCTCACCGGCGTTCGCTACATTAATGTTTGCATATATTTTACCATCATTTACTTCTGGCCAATACTGCTCGCATTTTCGCTACAAATAAATAGAATAAACAGTCTTCATGAATTCAAGAATCACAATTCTTTCAATTTACAACTTATTTGCAAGGATTGACATTGAGCTACGCTCAGTCCTACACATATATTCACATTATTACCTTAATTAATTCATCCTACCCCATTCACCCTATCTAACAGCCCAGAACAAATACCTTGGTTCCTTCAACGACGTTAGTAACAACCACAATTATCGCTGACTTTTCCTGCCAGATCATTCTCCACATATCATTGACTGACGCAACATTTGGACCTGAAATTATAAACGCGGAATAAATAATAGGCCTACATAATAAGCGCGCAGTTGATGTAGTTTACCTATGCTATGATGTTATTTAAAGGGCTACACAATTATTTTCCATACGTCAGGTGTTAAATAAAAATAAACTATTAATTAATATAAAAAAATATTAATCTTAATATAAATATATAATTAGGTTTTTGAACTATTACTATTAACATAACTACAGACACAAATAAAGTGCATATTTCCATCTTCCAAATCGTATCATTGCTTACCTTGACATGCAATGAATTCACGTGGTGTCGTATATCCCTGCAATTTAAGTAAAATAATATTTAAAAAATACAAAATACAATGTCTCTTTGTAAGGTGTAGAAGCTAAAATTGAACCCAAGTACCATAAGTTTGAAAGACGAGCATCATAACAAAGCTACAGCACCATTCCAATAGTATTAATTATTATGTAAAAATGATTTCTGCAGTAATTAGACAATTACCCAGTGCATTAATTATAAAATGAAGCCAAATATTATTAGTTACAAACTTAGTATTGTACCTTAATAGTAAGGTTAATGAATGACACCACAATAAATGTTAAGTGTGTTAATTCCTAAGTAAATTTAACATAAACAAATTCTATATAGTGACTGTATAGTACTGTACTGTATAATGTGGTTACTACTTGCAAGATTGAAATTATGAACATAATGGCCGAGCAGTTAAGACAGGGGCATCGTAATCATAGCCAACAATATCGATACGGGTTCGCGGTCGGTTTCTTGGATAAGGATTATAAACCGTAGGCCCTTGTTACTATTTTGTATTAGTGAGTATTGTATGAATTAGTCAACTAGAGTGCTGACAAGATGGCGAAGCATTGCAGAGTTATGTATGTGTACCATCCAATATGGCCGTCGTAGTAAAGCGCCACCTTCAGGCTTTGTATACATTTTATTAACATAAATAAGCCCTCTGACTGGTTATTATTTAATTAATGATAATGAGTAATAATAATAATTTTTTAAACTATCGTAGCTAAAACGAGCATCTTTTTCAAAAATAAAATACCAAGGAATGAAAATTAAAATCGTGTACATTACACCCATATACCGCAACGCTCGAGTTTCAAACATACGGGTAACTAGCCGTACTGAACTTTCTGAGTAAATTGAGGCCGCAATTGCAAATGATGGCGCTTAGGCGAAATTTGATTGGCTAAATCTATGGCAGCCATCTTGGATGGTACACACACACACAGCCCTGCGTATTTCGAACATCGAATACATTGCAGTTAGCGCTCTAGTATTCTTATTATATCTCTATGGGTATATCATATATTTGGGGTTTATATAATAGTTTATTTGTAACTTGTATGTTTATTTCATTCTTACTCTTATTAATAATAATAAATATAACAAATATTGTAATTTAGATAATTTTTTAGGGAAACACTATTATAATATTTTTTTTAAAAAATTTTTACTGGGAATTTTTTTTTTATATGAAGTCCGTAAGAATGTTTATAACCAGAAAAGAAAAATAAATTATCATTATTGTTATCAAAAAAGTTTGTATATAGTAGCCGTATTAGTCAGTGTATACAAATGAAAAAATGAGTAGGTAGCACCATTTTATTTCACAAGCTTTCGCCCCAGTCGATGGGGCTCCTTCATCAAAGGTATTGCTATACACTTTTAAAACATTAATCCTATAGGAGTCAACATGTCATTCTGTCTATTGGTACCTTGAGACAACAAAATTTCTTAAGTTTTGTTAAAATTAATTTGTAAACGTAGAACAAAATTTTATACTTACATCTATATACGAAGCATTTATATAGTCTGACTCAGGGATGTTATTCCACACATCAAGTACTACACGTGAATTGTCATCTAAAAAAATATAAATTATAATCAGATTCTTAATATACTGTAATTTAATTTAAAAATAATTAAAACTTCGTGAAAAACCCATCAGGCCAATTCGTCGTTTGAACTGCGTATGCCTGTATCAAGGTCAATTAGGGAGCTTTCAATTCCACGACGACGGTAGGATGCAGAACGATGAGGTCACTAAAAGTCATGCGCATGCGAGAATGTAAGAGTCACCTCATTGAGTAGATTCTGGAATGCAATTTGGCCAAAACTACGTATGCAGAGAACGTAGGACGCCGGTTAGGACGGTCACGCATGAGTGATTCCATTCTAGAATCGTGTCATTGCACAAATCGAAAGCTTCCTATTAACTAACTTTCACACTAAATAATGTCAATTGACCTTAAATACTGACATGCACAGTTCAAATGACGAATTGGCTTAATGGGTTATTTGACGAAGTAGTCGCACCTACGTTGGATGTCAATTACTGTAATAAAAAGAAAGATGAGTTGGGTATTTTGACGAATGTACAATCACAAATAAATAATTTCGGAAATAAAATCATTAATTTATTAATGAAAATTATTCTACGATCTATCTTTTAATTGAGTAAATCCCCAATTAAACCTAATCCATAATTTATGTTTCTGTCTGAGGCTATGGCTTTCTTGTTTTAATTACTGTATTTCATTTTCTTCATTTTATTATTGCATTTTTGTATAATTGTACTGTACTGTCTATAAAGGGTCTCTTCAAACCAGCTGTGTGCTGTAAGAGCTCCCTCCGTTAAATATTGCGAAATAGATAAATAATAATTAGTGCACGGGTGGTAAGTCTTGTCATCATGAATGGCAAACAGTAGTGTCCACCGATGACGCTTTCTCGTAACAGTAAAAGCAAAAAATCTTTTATCTCTCTGAAAATAATATTGCTAACTTCAATTTAATTTTTTATTTTATTTTTATACTTTTTAAAATTTTATTATTATAGTATTTCACATATTTAAAGTACATAACGTAAAGCGAAGGATATGACTGTTGCCAAAATTACAAAAGCCCATCGTTGGCCCCCGGGAATACATGGGCGTAAACAAATACCTTCAGTGGTATAGTCGCAACCACCAATGTAGAAACAAGAAAATTAGAGAAGTACTAAAGGAAATATATTACAAATATTATTATCATTTGTAGAACTCTATATAAAACAATAGTGTAAAGGAAATGAAACAGTTATTGACAGATTAAATAATGTTTTTTTGAAAATCTGACAATAATAATATGAACATTAACGCTGAGGGCTATGTCTATTGCTAATAATGTTATTTGTATTGATACTCACATGGAATAACATTTGCATATCTGTTTTTAGTTCTATTCTTGGCATGTTTTGCAGCGGTCCAGGGATACAGGGGCTTGTTGCCAATGTCCTGTTATGAAGAAATTATCACTTAATCCAACCGCAGAAATAGCAAAAAAAATTGATGAAAGAATACATTTATGTATTTGTTTTATTCTATATTTCACTTTATTTAATCAGGGAGGAATGTTTCATATCTTTTTACAAGATTAGATCAGGTTTATCCCACTACATTTATTTTAGAAGATAAAGATGATGACACCAACACCAGAACCATCAAAATCATCATCCTCTTCATTCTCATCATAATCATCATGATTGATAAATAAGAACGAGTACAAGAGTATAGAAAAAGTATAAACATACCTCAAATTCCTTTTCAAATCCGCTTTTTAAGCTACTGTTTTGTTTCTTCACGTAATCGTGCAGAAATGCTAACTCAATCGGTCTGTATTCCTGATTTTCTAAGTTTGTATTTCCATAAACAGGTTCAGAGTTCGCGTACATGTTTTCAGTTAAAGGAGCACCATCATCCTCATCATTCGGACTTTTCACATCTACTGCATTAGCATGACCCTCAACTGCAGGCATCAATTCATTTTCTTTATAAATTAATAAAAGCAATGTACATACAATAATTTTGATTATGATGTTGATGATGAATATGACTATAACATTATTGATTATAAGATGCCTTTAACATGTTCTCCAATCAAGCTTTTCTTTAAACAACTTTGAAGCCTACTGTGCACTGGAAAATCATCTTGTATTTTTAAGACATTATGGGGATGGTTTAGACATGTTACAAATTAAAGTTAGTTGTTTTCATGTACAAAACTTAACCATCTAACCTGAGTCGAAAACAACTTGTTTTTGAGCAACATCATGTCTAACAACTTCTTTGCTTGAATTACGGCGTCTACAAGCACAATCAAAAGCATTGTTTACATAAAAAAATATGCAACACACTGGTGAATTAAAAAGTATGTTATTGACTTTGGGAAAGCTCTTGAAATAATTAAAAATGAATTATTTGTATACTCTAATTACTTTATCTACTGATATTATTAAATTTGTTATTGATTAACAGAATGGATACTAGCTTGTAAGGAATACATATGGTGTGTACTGTTAGATATATTTAAATATAAATATAATAAAGTCAAATAAAACAAAATGATAGATTGTGAAATATTAAATAACATGAAATAAAAACAATCATCAATAAAAATAGTACACAATCACAGATTTTGAAAAATATCAATTTATTTTTTAGCTCTAAGCCTTTCCCAATTATCAGGAAAGTGAATTGTGTCAGAACCTGCCCCGCCCTTTTGTGTGATTTATTTTACAAGAAAATTGTGCTACATATTTGGCCAGCTTTAATGGTTTAGGTTGAGGACAGGTTCATAAACATACATTTTGTTGATTTAAGAGTTGGTATAATTTGCTTAATCATTTCATTGTAATTAAATTACTGCTAAAATTATTACCGTTTAACAAAAATCAAGACAAAAACAATCGCACTGGCTGCCACAGATAAACCTCCGATAACACCACCTACTATAGCACCTGGAAATAACATACAAATACAAAGCATTAAACCGATACCTGGTGTGGCCATTGATTGGATAGTAAATCACTAACAAATGAGTCTGTAATATCTAATAGTCATCATCTTAGTTTCTGAATTTAGTAAAAGTTTTGTTCCTCAAAATCTTAGATACCATTAATTAAGTACCTTATTATAAACTTTGTAATCAATATTATATGCATTTTATATGTATATTTATTATGAGTAATTATATATCATAAATTTGTTTACAGAATTCATTGATAGACAAATACATTTATTTGTAAACAAAAATTTATCCCCATTGAATTTGTAAAGGCAATACAACTATACTATAGTTGCAGATCTGTATGAGAAAAATAGGCAGGTAGTTCACAGTATTTGATGTGATATTTATTATAGGAGCTGCTTGTAAATTTATTTCTGACTAGAGGAATTTCAGAACTGTAATAGTGAAAACAACATTGTGATGAACAAACTTCCTCATAATATTTTTGTTAATGTTGGCTGCAATCATTACTATCTTGTATTTGGTGGGCTATATTATATCGCTGTACAGGAAAGCATGTTCAGAAGGCTAAAGCTTGTTTGTTTTGTTATGACAAAGAAGATTCACTAAAACTTAGATCCATTATACTGCCATTCTAATGGACAAAGACATAAAAGCCCCTACTAAATTGCGTACCTTTGCCAGGGTTATCTGCATCGGTAGACACATAATCAGCATCTGAGAAATTACCGAAGCCTTTTTGAGTTCTGGCTGCTATCTACATATTTGAGAAAAAATAAATCAGTTTTACAACAGTAGGACAGAAGATGGGTACAGTCGATTTTCGACCCTAGTCAATTATTGAGCACACTTGCATATTTAGGCAGAGTTTATTTATTCTGGTTTATTCACATCAAATATATATGTCATAGCAGCACATAGCTGGAGAAATATTTACAAAATTCAACATTAAAAAGTGAAATTACTGTATATACTTTAGATATAAATAGATTTTTTTTTTTTTTTTTTTTGGTTGTCATTTGTATGAAGGAATGTCTCTGTAGAGATTCCAAGACCACAAATACCTAATTCGGTATGGGCCAGATATAATCGCCACACATTTTCTCTCATGCAACTGATACGCTTGGACTGAATATCGAAGCCAAGATTTAGCTAGGAAATGTTATTTAAATTAGGTTTGCTGTGTAGACTTACAGCCCACTTATTGACCATGAAGTTGATTTTTCGTTGGTAACAGTTGGCAATCAATCATTATCAAGGAATTGGAAAAACAAAAAAAAAACAAAAAAAACATAAAGCTCTGAATAAAATTAAAAACAACAAAGGAATTATTATCAATAAACAGGACAAAGAAAATGGAGTAATCGTGATGAACAGATATAATTACTATAGAGTACACTCAATAACGAATCCCACTAAATTTAACAAACTAAAGGCTAAACTAAAATTATGAGGGAAGGATACCTCCAACGTTGTCTAAAGAAATAATAAAGCACACGGAAGATATATCTACTGAATTCACCCAAATGTTTGTTAGCATGTATTTGGGAACGTACTGAGTATTCGGTACGATAACACGTCAGGTAAGGCAAAATATCCAGGGGCAGATCCAGAGGCTCTTGGTTAGTGGGGACTATAGGTATATGTGTAAAGTGCCTCCAAGTGCCTGCGGAGGCTAGGTTTGGGAGGAGGTGTCTCCGTCCGATAAGATGGGGTTCAGAAGGGTAGCTGAACACTTTAGCTATTAGATGTATGTATGTATGTGTGTGTGTGTGTGTGTGTGTGTATGCGTATGTATGGGTGTATGTATGGGTGTATGTATGTGCGTATGTATGTGCGTATGTATGTGCGAAAAGTAGGCAAAAGCAGCTTTCTTAGGTACATTTTTTGTCCGATGATCAGTTAAAAAACGTATTTCATTTTTATTTGATCACTGAAAAACAATTACTGTAAAATGTTTAGCCCATAAATATGATGTGTGTGAAGAAAACATTAAAACCATATTTTAATTTGGACCTTCAAAAAGCAGTTAAAAAGAAATGGCTATGAAATTTTAGGGGGGGCTAAAGCCTGTTAAGCCCCCCTCTAAATCCGCCCCAGATATCACTCCTCAATGGGTTAGCTAACCTGTTCATGGGGCACCACCATTTACTGACGTACCGGTTCCTTTTTTGACGATATGTTTTGCTTATTTTATTCCAAACATGATGCTAACATTCAATTTGAAAAAGGAGTATTGTTACAACAAAATATTATCCTTCATTGACATTCTTTTCTAAAATTCTTATAACTCATTAATAACTTCAGTCTATTATAAAAACACATACCAGCTTGCTAACAAATTTCCATAGCTTTAAATTACATAAAATATCTAAACGTGGACTTCTACATACCCTGATTGATCGTATTTTAAAAATTAGTAGCACTTGAAAGGCCTTTGTTACCGAAAAATTGAAATAAAAAAATTTTAATAATTAATATAATAATACATAAATTAACAAATTATTGTCCACCCTTTTGGATCCTCCTAAACACAATTCTTATTTTAAGTTACCATATGCACCATTATTCAACTATTTCGATTAATAAATCAACACCATGGTCAAATTATATTCCTCTTAAATCATAAATTATCTATTTTTTAATGTAAAAGACTATGTCCCGACTTCTCAGAGGTTATGTTGTCAACACATTTACTTGCGCAGGGCATAACTCCATATATATTGGTAAAACAAATACACATATATACAATCGGTTCGGGACAAGTCTTAAAAAATGTTTCAACCTCTTCAAAATACAGTTACATACAAAAACACATTCAATTCAAACCGTTTCACTATTTCTGATTTAATTATCAACTTTAGAGTGATATTTTACCCACTTGACATGAAATCGTACCGAATACTCAGTATGTCCCAAAATACTAGCGCAAAAAAAATTGCAAGAGATTCGGGTGGGAAACGAACCGACGACCTACAGGTATCCTACCTGATGTCTTAACCACTAGACCACCAAGCTTGCGCATGGTGACTAGTAATGAATCCGAGTTCTGGGAGTTTGCGTCAAGAAAATATCATAGGAGTGATGTTTGGCTCTACCTGATGTGTAATCACACCAAATACTCAGTACGTCTCCAAATACTAACGAAAAAATTCGCAAGTGATTTGGGTGGGTGCTTGTTTCCCTGGAAGGGGGGGGGGGTGTTCTTTCCCCTCCTCAGTTTTTCCCCCTGAAAAGAAGAAAAACCACAATCTGTCGAGGAGAAAAAGAATAATATGTATTTTTTATATATTAGGAGGCTATTATAGATATATAAAATCAATTAAATAAGCCTCTGAAACAAATGAATTTTTTGGGAGCTCCGCCCCCTGGACCACTTTCGAAACATTTAATCTACACCCGACTACGCCTACTTTGCTCTCGCCGGGGACCTTTCCCACACTTCCCCCACCCAGATTCTAGACGCTGGCGCCGCTACTGCCCGCCCAAATCACTTGGGGACGTACTGAGTATTTGGTACAATTACATGTCAGGTAGGTCAAAACATCACTCCTATGATGTTTAATTGACACTCCGGAGAGGTCTATGGTGATAAATTAAAAAACAACTTATTTCAATATCACCCTTTCATTGTAATTGTTTACATGACTTACCACAGTATTCAGCTTTTACATGCATGGCTTACCTTAATATTGCATGTCTGCCATACATTTGACAGGTATTAAATATACCGATATAGCATACTCTAAGATTGCCGATGATGACGTGTGACATGTTGCTTATTAGTATCAGTTATTATATTAGATGCATTAATGCATTCATACTATATGTTTATAATTTATATTGCAAACCTGGACAGTGTAGTTGGTATTCGGCATTATATTTTCATTAATTGTCAGTGAAGCCGCTGTGATATCCATAGTGAAATTTAAATTCTGTACATCACTATATACAAGCACATTGTATCCAAGTATTGTACATGGATTATCATCAGATAATGTCAATTCCAGTGTGATTGATGAAGACGTTGATGTTAACGAACTAATGGTTGGTTTTCCAGGATCTGTGGGGAAATATATTAATAAAATAATAAAAATAATAATAATAATAATAATAATATTAAAAATATTAATAATAATAAAAATATTCTTATTATTAATATTATTATTATTATTTAGTATAAATATACAATATAGTATAAAATAAATATTCTATTTTAAATGGATTTAATTTGCTACACCTCAAGAGGAAATGTTTGATATCTTCTTTCATAGTTGACATAAAGTGCAAATATTGGTTATCTATATATTCAAAGAAATTATTTTCTCATTTACCGATAGTGTATTTGATCTATCTATAAATTCTAACCTAAAACCTATAAAACAATTTTGATTTTTTAAACAATTTTCTACTTTTTATTACTTTTATATTGTCAAGCATTGCATTAATGGTATTTAAATAGAAAGGATAACATACAATATATTATAAAGGAAAAAATGTACTAAAAATTAAACCGAGGAAAATGTTAATGATGTGATTTTTAATAAAAAAAAAGCTCTTTACATTCGTATAAGATTAAAAAAGGCTTACAGTCAACACCAGACATGACCTCCATAATATCAGTATTGCTGCTAACGTTCATATGCGATGCTGAAACTGAAAATGTGTACTGAGTACAAGGTACAATTCCATCATCTATAAGAACTTCAGTTTTTGTTGTACTTCCTTGGTGGATTCCTCCTGATAGTTCATAATGGTAACTCAAATTATTCTGGGTGCTGGTACAAGTAGCAGCATTCCATTTCATTAATAAAAACGTTCTTTCCAGTACTGAATCGTTGGTAATTGAGGGCGCTGTTAAAAGACAACAACATTGTGTTAATAAATAGAATCCATCAATCAATTTAAATATTCATAGTAAAAAATAGAACAAAAGCCAAAAATCACAACTTCTAACTCTACATATCAAAAATTTAATTAATTTAATGTATTCAGCATTTGTACATTTTCTATCCAACACAGCAAATGTTTACTATAACTCATTGAGAATCTGCTGCCAATATAATAATATTAACATAAAAAACACAAGATACAATGTAGAGTATAAATAGGCTGATCGTAATTCTAAAGTTCAAATTTTTGGTTTTTTGTTTCTTAAATACTTACATCAAAATGGTATATTAAACTAAAAGACGATTTGAAGAGATGGTTGAATATTGTTTAAAGGTTTGCATGGTGAAGTAATAATATATATTAATGCTTGCGGTACACCACATACTGTAGATAGTTCTGAAAAGAACCGTTGTTGTTGGTTGAGAATATCTAGACGATTGAGTTGCTCAGTCGTCTTCAGGAGGATAATATCTGTTCTTCAGGAGAGTAATAATCCGTTCTTCTCCTGAAGACGATTGAAGCAACTCAACCGAAACGTCGAGACATTAAAACAATAAATACAATTGTTTTAATACCTGTGTACGACCGTCAGAATCAGTAGCACAATCAGTCAGTATGTATGCTTTACTTTACACTACTACTACCTCAAATAACCAACCAGATTCAAGGCTGCTTTTTATACTTCTAATTACAATACTAATAGTCCATTAATTTTCACTGTGTCGACTACACTATCTCGCCCGACTACCAAGAGATTTTGGCCTACCCAACTACTGTTACGCTGTAGCTTTCATATTCCACAAGCAACGAACGTTCATTCATTCATTTATTTGGTCAATATCAATAAAATCTGTTTATAGTAAACTGTTATATAAATAAAGTAATTTTTTCAGTTGGACCTTGACCTTTGACTCTTCGAAATTCAATAATCTTTAGTTTGTGGTCATGAAACATTGTGACCAAGTTTTACGAATTTCTAATACAAATTGTGGACTCAGTTTGGCTGTTATATATAAAAAGGTAGTTTTTTTGCCAACTGTGACCTTGACCTTCAACTTCGACCTCTAAAAATGTAATGACGTCCAGGTTTCTGGTTTTGTATAATTGTGACAAAGTTTGACTAGTTTCTGATGGAAATTGTTGGCTGTAGGCTGTTATATAAAAAAAGTAGTTTTTGTGGATTTTTACCTTGACATTTTGGCCCTGACACTTCAAAACTGAATCATCAAATTATCAAGCAAACAAACAAATAAATAGGGGCGAAAACATAACCTAATTGGCGGAGGTAATAAAATAAACAATATTAAAGCAAAAATCATTAACCTGAGGGCGCTGATTGTACCGATATTGGCTTTCCCCAATCTCCAGTAATTTCTGCATTATTAACAACTCTAGAGTCGACGTGATAAAAAACACATCCTGGTGATAATCCTGAAATGTTGACTTCTGTTTGTAAGCCATCCGTTGTGTTGACAATGTCATGTTCATTTCCATTTTTGTTTTGGTGTCGCACTTGATAACGAAGTATATCATCGCATTGGATTCGCTCAGGAGCATTTGATACAGGCTATTAGAAAAAATATAGGCGAAAGCCTTTATAGATTGTCTTTAATATCTTAATTTAAAATTACTTATTGTTAATTAGTTGTTTTGATTAATTGTGAGAATAGGCAAGGATCAAAATTGAAATTGTAATTGAAATAGGCATATACTTACCTTCAATTTTAAGATAATCTCATTACCTTTAACTGTTGTAGATTCTATTTCTGGCTCTTCTAAAGGCTCTTTAAAAAAGAAATATTGTACAGTATTTATAATTATTGAGGCTTTAATAAAAATGTAATTATAATATAATGGTAGCACAATAACTCCTAAGTTTATACAATAGCTATTATGCTGCATGTGCTTATAGCTTATGAAATGAAAACAAAAACTATTATAGGCCTACACATTACTAAAACCTAAAATGTTTTCTGTAACATGAAACAATCATTATGAGAAACTAGAACACAGCAGCATATATCAAAATTTCGACACATACATATAATGGTCCCATTGGTGGCATTCACTTTGTGTTCAACTTAGAGCAAAGTATGGTTCAACCTAGCTGGAGAAATGCTTTGCTAACTTGCGTTAGTTCAAAACTTCAATTAGCCGTTTTTAATAAAATTCAAAACATATAGAATGCCGTCATATTTAATATGTATAGACCAATATTTGCTATTCAAGCACGGAAATGACTGAAGTGTCGTGCAGAAAATCCTGTGCAAAAATTTTCAAAAAATAGGATAGAAGAAAAAAAATCAAACAAACCAATGGCTAATGCAAGAAAAGTCAAACATAACGAGTACAACTCCATAGAGCTTTTTTGCCAATACACTCAGAGTTTGAGGCCAAATCCCTACTAATCCCTGATAAACTCAGCAGGCCACCAAAGATTACACTGATTAAAATCAGTAGTTAATGGTGCTTACTAGACCTCCTGACTGGGTCTGGAAGGTGATTCAAAACAAGGAAACAATTTACACACTTCACAATAATATTACTGTTAAAATATAACATTTTAAAAACCGTATTTTTATTTGTAACAAACTTGAAAAACTCCCAAATCCCAAATTACTCTATTTGTTGAGGAATTTCAGTTAAGAAATTAACAACATTTGAGGCAGTGAATGGCGATTTTTAGACATGTCACCCGAATAAAAAATGCTCCGCATTTTCATCATGGTTTTATTTATTACAAACATATTCTTTCACCATCAATACACATTGAGGCCCTTCTTTTAGGTTAAAATGATCTATCTTAAATTTGTCTTTCTTGAGTTTGGGACTATAATGTGTTTAAATAACTTAAAGCCCTAAAAAATGCGCACGAGGCGCGCTAAATATTTTTGTGTTTTTAATTCTAATTTCGTCGGAATTGATGAAAACTCCCTAAAATGTGCAATTTATAGAGGAAATAGGCCTACCGTAACAAGAAATGCACGCAAAGAATTTGAGAACTTTAGGCACTTTCAGAGAATGCATTTGTCAAGGGGTAGGGAAAGATTTGTCAAAGATGGATATTTTCCCCTTGTCCCCCGGTGTTTTTAATTCTAATTTTGTTGCAATTGATCAAACCTCCCTAAAATGTGCAATTTTTAGAGGAAATTGAGCCATATCAGCAAGAAGTATGCGCGAAATTTGAGGTTTTTAGGCGCTTTCAGTGGATGAAGAGGGCATTTATAAAGGGGGTGGGGAAGATTTTTCAAAGATAGATATTTTCCCCTTGTCCCCCAGTGGTTATGCCATCGGGCAGCATAGATCAAAGGAGTTATGACAGTTTTTGAAGTGGAGAAGGGGTTGCAGGGTGTTGTGAGTCTGGTCATTATGATATCTGCCTTTTTATTCTTGTCATTATTTTTCTCTTCTCTTTTTCTTTTTCTTTCCTTTTCTTTTCATCTTCTTTCTCTTTCCCTCCCTCTCCCCTCTTTCTTTTCTCTTATTACCCAGCCCGGTACGACGGCTTTGTCAGCCAGGTAAAAACCGTCAGGGGAGGGGAAGTTTTCCCCTTCCCCCCACCCCCGCGCCTGTTACGACACTGGCTAACACGCCAATCAACCCCACCAATGAAAAATATTTTTCTACGCCACTGGCTAGGATTACGTAACGTAGGCATCTAAGCCAGTGTTGTTGTATTGTACCACCATTATCATGCTCTGGCTGGCAACAACGTATTCCAACAATGCTAACAACAGCAGCATAGTAGTCTCATTAGTCTGGTTTTCAGAAATTATTTGTAATATTTTGGTAAAAAACCAGCAAACGTCCTTTTTCCGAATAGTCGCATTACAAATGACCTTTACCCATTGCATCATCGACCAAGTAGTAATGTCAAAAAGTCAGATTGCGTAAGTTTTTCAAAGTGATAATGTATATTATTCTTAATAATAAAATCAGATTTGTTGTATTTATCTATTTATTAACAATTCAATTTTCCATTTCTGCTATAATAGTCACTATCTATTCAGTTTCAACGAACTACCACCAACAACCAGTCGTTAAAAATGAGCGCACATGTTTACGATGACGAAATAAAAAAGTGTGTTGAAGTCAGCAACTTACTTGACACCGCGAAGCTAGATTTTTGAGAAGTGCATATAAACAACACAATTGAGCGATCTAAAAACTACAAAACAGGACAGGAAGGTCCATAAAGTATACAGACGTTCTAATGAGAATTAAAACAATATTTTGTTAAATGGAAGAATGCTAGCTAGCGATTAAAATAATTTGTTTTTTATCGAAGGTAAATTTAGCTAGGGCCTAGAGAATCTACTACTTAGATTGCGATAGAACACCCTGCTGCACTGTCGGTTGGTTCGTACTGGTCGGCTAGGTTATAAGGTAGTGGAAACTCACACCTTCTCTACTAGTTTACAATATTTTTTTAACGAATACCACTTATTACTAGAGGTTCGTAAAATACAGCAGATGTTTTATTAAACAAGCCTTTCCACCATGTGACGTCGACGGCCTGAAACTGGCTGGCTGTTTATCTGGCTCTAACTTGGCATCAAACGCAATTAGGGGATTATCGTATCATGTTTCAAGACGGGTATATCTAGATAAAGTTCGACGTGAACCAGGCTAATGGCTAATGATCTACACTGCCTATAGCCAGTAATAGGATTATAGGATTAACACTTCAAATCTTGAGCAATTACTCATACCAGCAATGTCTTATTAGCATTGGATGATAAAAAATGGAAAAAATCTCTCTATGCAGTTGTACACGTCATGAACATTTGAACAAAAACACTGACTTAATCAGTGTTAAAAATCTGAATAAAAATCAGATTAAAAAATCAGGTTAAAAAATCTGAATATTACTTTGGCACCCTTGTCCCATGTAATCAATCGAACAAGATGACCCGGATGTACAATTCCCCATCTTTTTGTCGCATTCACCTGAATTGCTTTTTCCGCTAATGCGGGAAAAGGAAATAATTATATGATCAGCAAGTAATTGGGCTTACTACTGCATATAGTCTCTGCTGATCCATGTTCACTAGGTGGTCCATCGGTTTCTACGCCGGCAACTAATCTTGAGTGCTGTGTGTAGAATCTAACAGTCATGTGTAGTGTAGGCCTAAGATTGTCGATGATATATACACCGTTTTCAGTATTATTAACTGTAGAGAATGTACTTGTCTGCGATGTTTTATACCATAGCTTACATCCGGTAATAGTGCCTGTTCCATAGTCTTGGACTGGATCCCAGCCGCAGGCAGCAATCATGAGGATGGTTGCTGTTTGATTCAAGAGTTTCGGCGGTTTGGAGCTGTAAGGTAGTGCTAATAACAATAACACTCATTATAAATATATATTTTTAATATAATTAGGGTGCAGGGGGAATTTGGCCACCCCCCCCCCCCCCCCTCCACATGGGTATAAGAGACAGCTTTAGGAAGGTAAAAAAAAGAAGGCAGAAGAAACAAATGATTGCCAGAAACGCCTCAGAGTTTATTTTCGGGCGTCTAGAACACAAAAAGTTTGCGAGGAATGCACTGGACCCTCCAGGGAAGTGTTATCTCGATCTGCCTCACTTTCAGCCCTTACTTTTGGACATCTCTGGATCCGCCCCTGGGGTGGCAAAAGATACATTGAATGAATTATTTATAGGTATAACATGCGGCTTCATAAAAAAGAATATATGTTGGTTAATCTTGGAAATTCAATTGCAATTATACATAATTGAGATTTAAGCTCGATTTAACACAAGTAAATGTGAATTTGAAGACGTATATCGTTACCTATGCTGCAGTCCCCTCCAGCCCATGCTTCGTGGCATCCATTGTCACAGCTTCCATTACGATTACAATCAGCCGAGTCTTTACAATGACATGGATAGTTACACAACACACCAAAGAAACCAGATGGGCAGGACAGGCCTGGCTGTAATTCTACAACAAAATGCAGCATCATTGTTATCTTTAAATGTTGAGTCAAAAGGTATTAGTTAGGTCTAAATTAACTTTTTAACTATTACCATTAATGTTCACATGTACTTGTATTTTGAATTATTCGACTTGATAATATTCCTGTCCTACATGTAGATTTAAAAATGCTCAATTAATTTTTAAATCGGCCCTAACAAACTAAAAAAATAACAGTTTTAAATTACGCGACTATAAACAAATATTTGTTTAGAAGTCATTCATTATTTTTTTTCATCATGTTTAAACAGGATTTTTTCTGACCCTCTCTCCCATGAAAGAAATATTTAAAGAAATATGTAACATATAAGATCATACTTTTATATTTTTCATGAAAGAGTACATATGACTAGACTGTGGTCAACCTCTCCTCCCTCAAAGCGTATGTTTTTACTCTGTAGAAAGGATGAAATCATGTGTATTTCCTTAGCGTCCCCTTCAATTTAGGGCCACCTAGGTATTTTTTATTGAAAATCAATAATTTCCACACCATTGCTAAATGAATCGTAAGCATAATAGACAGTCATTACACATTCATTTTGTTATTTAACTTTTTCAGTCCCTAAATCCTCATAATGTGACTTTGTTTAACAAGGCATCATGTTTCTTTTCCACTTTTAAGAGGCCTACTGAATATCAGCATGCCCGCTTGGTAAACTGGGTTACCCTCTATTAAAAAACAAATCCTTCAATTCCTTACAAATTATTGTTGGTCGGAGGTTAAACAAGTAAAATATTAATGTAGCCTGTACTCTTTCTAGCCATATGTAAATTAAGTACTTTAAATAGGAATATGAGAATATGCTTATTGCAATACAGTAGGCTATTAACTTTTCAATTGAATTGAGTTTATTTTGGATACAAGGTACAGTATTAAAATATTTAATTACCTTTGTTGCCTATATGTAGATTAGTATTTCTAATAGGAATATTAAAATCAGCTTTGTTTTTACGTAATTATTACTATATTTTATACAAAATAAATATACTATTACTTATAAAATTTGACAACTAAAATTTGAATATTACCTTGGCATGCTGGTCCCATGTAATTAATCAAACAAGATGACCCGGATGTACATTTCCCTGTCTTTCTGTCACATTCCCCTGAATCGCAATGACATACTTGACGGCAATCTGCTCCATAGTGATTATTAGCACATGCTGTGAAATACATTTTGGGAAAACCACATTGTTTGTCGATTAGTACCATATATTTAATCTTGTATGAGCATACGTGACGAGCAACCGTGTATGTATTTATCTTTTTCAATTAAAATATGCAGAGTAGACCCTTACTGCTGTTCCTTGTTTGTGTCCTGGGCCTGTGCAAAACATTTTTATACAACTGTCTTCCTCTATCCATTTTTTCTTTGTTTTTTCATATTTTTGTTAGGCTATTTAGTTACCCAACACCATTATGTGAGTTGTGATCTTGCCAACTGCTGCTTAATTGCCAATGGTCTCAAATTGCAGGATTACAATCGCAATGGTGTTGGCTCTTCTGCAATAGTCTGTCTCTTCTGACTTTCAGTTTCTGTGTAGCCTAGGAAAGCTTTGTTTTTTTTCTTGTTCTGCGCATAGGGATCATGTACTTTACGCTATATAAGTCTCCATCCATTACCATTACGATTACCATGAGTTTTGAATTCCATTGTGGTGATTTTTTGAAGTGATTCATCACACTCTCCCATTTTATAGGTTCGACAGCGGAAATAAAATAAAGCCTGTATATGCATTATGAAGTAATATGCTGTAATATTGACAACACTTATAAACAAAAACAAAAACAAAATATAAATAAATTAAAAATTATAAACAGTGGCAATAAACTTCTCAAACCTGTGTTGCAATCGTTGCCTCCATATCCGTCGATGCAGGTGCATCCGAATGGATCAGGAGGACAAAAAAGCTTTCCTTTACAAGCTTCGCCATCTCCAGTAGTACAAACAACATCACAATTACGACCCCAGTTGTTGCTTCCACAAGCTACAAACAAAAAGAAAGTATAAACCGTAAATACCAAAACATAACATATTTTATTAAAAAAGCACTTACAATTTTAGGCTGATGACTTTATTATTTTAAGATTTCTCATATATTTACTATGAAATATATAAATATATAGAAACATGAGTTTCCGAGTACTTAAAGGTACATTGAATTAAATTAAATTTAAATTTGTTGGCTTACATGTTTGGCAGTTTTCTCCTTTGAAGCCTGCAGGGCAAATACATATACCGGTCTTTTCGTCACAAACTCCACCGTTATAACACACAGGACAATCCATCTCACATTCAGGGGGTCTCCATTTTGGCAGCGGACAATCTAAGTAAAAAATGTTTACTACGTCAACAAAAAAAGTAGACTATAAATAAATAAAATAAAATATGTAAACACTTCTAGCATGTGGGTGGACACTTCAAACGATGTAGAGACAAAACAATAATTGGCCAGACAACTGGTACAACACTATAAGCATACAGTAGGTACTGTATAAAGACAACCCATGTGGAGAGATCAGACAGAGGGCGAAGAGGCATTACAGATTCAAAAAGTCCTTGGTTAAAGTAACGAGAAGGTATAGACTTAGAGATACATAATTTATAAAGTTTAGATATATCCATGGAGGAATTAGTTTAGAACTAATTCCTCCATGATATATCCAGGGAAATTTCACTGTTCCCTGACATATCTAATATATAATATAAAACTGTGGTACTGAATGTGCTTTAAAATCAGAAAATGTAATGCACCTTACACATAATTTTTGCATAACTAAAACAGGCTTTAAATAAGAGTCATACTTATTGCCCTATACCTTAATTCTATAAATCAGATGTGGATGAATAAAAGGATTATAAAGCATGATCAGTATACCCTTATTGGTACACTGCCGTAGTTTATAATATAATACAATTATAATTACAATATTATATCATTATAAACACCGTATCAAGTGTCATTAAACCATATGGCATAAAATAAGTTAAAACAAAATTAAAGCTCATGACTAAACAAAGGAAATAATTTCTTAATTGAACCAATTTTTATTTTTCAAATAATGAGAAAATCAAAACATATATATTTTCGACTATAAAATTTTTTTTATTGCAATAATAACTATTTCTTCGTTCTCCATCAATCCAACATTCTATTGATTGTGAATTTCGACAAATGTGAATGTTATGCATATTTACCTCTGACAATGAGTCTCATTACTCCATGGTTGTCATCAGGACTACCACTTCCATAACATTCATATACCCCGTCATCTTTAGCTCGTATATTTTTAATCGTAACGGAAGAATTACCGCTCCACATTTGAATTACGTCACCATAATTATGTCTCCAGCGCAAATCGTTAAAACCGCCATCTTCACTGAGGCTAATAGTGGCGGATTCCCCAATGCCGACAGTCAGCGTTCGAAACTGCATTCTAATGGTGGCTGTGGAAATACATTTAAATAATATATTAGTATTGATGATAGAACAAAAAAAATCACTTAATATGCGTAGTGTAATTATAATGACGACGACGACAACCACGACAACTACGACGATGATGATGATGATGGTGATCGTAATGATGATGATGATAAAAGGCGTAGGCTATAGATAAATACCAATGCTAATGGGATTCCTAACTTATTTTTAAATGGGCATATTCGGTCTTAGAAGCTGTTTTTAATCTAGAAACTAATCAAGAAAATTGGTGGCACATAACATTTAACAACTGCAGTGGCGGGTCAGGGAATTAAAAACAGAGGAGACAAGGAGGTACAGTACTTTCACAGGTGGAGGGTAAAGACCACCTTAGCCCCACCATGGTAGGGGCTGAGATATAAGAACATTTACAAAATGGTACTCTCAGGTCTAAATTATTATTTCCCTGTATTTTTAGTAAATTATTAGTAAAACTTGTATATGACCTTGACCTTGTAGTATTAGTCATCCATAATATGCAACATTCTACAATATGTTTTTATATTCATTAAAAGTTATAACATAGTTGAATGAAACAAGTTATTACAAAGTGCGACAGACTTATTACAAAGTGTGACAGGCAGCTATTAGAAGTGTGACAGCTTGATTATTACAAAATGCGACAACAGTTATTACAAAGTGCAACAGGTTATTACAAAGTGTGACAGATTTGTTACAAAGTGCGACAGATTTGTTACAAAGTGCGACAGGTATTACAAAGTGCGCCGATTATTACAAGTGCGACAATACAATCATCAACAAAACAAAGAATATTTGAAACCATCTTTAGATATTGGGTCTATAGCTCCTGTCAAATCACAATGTACAAATTCTAATGGTCTTTTTGCCTTCTTATCTGGCATACGGTTGCGAAATTGACACATTTTTCCTTGTGTACAAATATCACAATCAAAATTATTATCGTTTGTGGTAGTCATGCCATTTACTACATTAGGGAGTTTTCTAATGTCACTTAAATTACAGTGGCCAAAAATAGAATGCCATTCTTTAAGGGTTCCTGTACAATTTTTTTTGGGACTACACTATTTAAAAAGTACAATCTCCCTTTCTTTTCCATTTCAAATATTGTGCCATCGGCGGCTTTCATGTAGGCTTCTTCCTTACTTATGTTTATAGCTGTCCTTTTTCATGCAACATTCCTTTGTTTCGTGAGATTTGTTCTTGCAGTGGCTGCACCATTTGTTGATGGTCTTGCCTTTTACTCTGCATTCCGCACTTTTGTGTCCCATCTTCCCACAGTTGGAACATTTTCATTTCAATGAAGTTTGATTTTCAAAGGTAGGTTTTGCGCTTGTATTCATTACGTTGTCCCTAATTATTAGGTTTTACTTTGCTCTTCCACGATTCTTCATAATCTCTGAGTGTAATTTTAAATTCTGTGAATCTGAACTCCTTGTCCTTTTGGGCAATCACAGTCCCAAATGTATTGAACGCTGTTGGTGAACCTTTCAATACCATTGATTAAGCAAACCATCATTTATTGTTTCGAAATAAGAAAAATGAAAAAAAATTATATCGGAAAAATTACAGCACAACTGTACTGACAACTCTTTCGTCCTCGACACATTAGTAAAAAAGTTTTTACAAAATAAGAAAGAAAAATTGTATAGTGCGTTTGTAGATTTCAAACAAGCACTTGATTGCATAGATAGGGTAACTTTGTTTAAAAAATTAAATGATATCAAAATGCCAATAAAAATCATTAAACTTTTAAAGTCTATGTACACAGACACAAAAATCAAAATAAAAACTAATCATGTTTTAACAAATCACATTGAACATTGTTATCACCATTACTTTTCATTATTTTTCTAAATGATTTCAAAGATGCTCTATTTAAAAAACGATCTACATTTTTGTTTAATAATCAAATCATTTCGCATTTATTATATGCCAACGACTTGATTTGATCTTCTTTTACCAAAATTGAGTTACAAAAACAATTAAATTGTCTGCAAAAATATTGTATCACAAATAATTTATAAATAAATAAATCAAAAACAAAGATTATGGTATTTCGAAAAGGGGCAGTGATGGGTAGACATGAAAAATGGACTGTAGATGGGGTAGAATTAGAAGTGGTTAAAAAATATAAATATTTGGGTTTTCATTTAATAACATGGGCACATGGAAAGTTATGGGGGAGCATCAAGCAGAGAAGGGAGAAAGAGCCATGTTTAGTCTCAGAAAGAAAATGTATAACATTGGATTTACTTCTGCGGAAATACAACTAAAAATTTTGACAGCCAAGTAATGCCTATACTATTATACGGTGAGCTTTGGGGTATAATAACTAAATAACTAACTTATAAATAATAATTACTAATAATAACTAAATGTGCAGCGGTCCGCTCTAAATGAGGGAGTAAGAAATAAATTGGGAAATTTCCCCATTAAATTTTATCACGTTATTAAAGTGATAAGTTACTGGATAAAAATTAATATGATGGAAAATTCTACGTTACCAAAAATATGTTATCAAAGGCAAAGATTGTGTGCTGAAAACGGAATCGACTGTTGGGCATTTGGAATAAAATTGATTTTAAATATGTTTTGATTTGGTTACATGTGGGACTCGTCTGTAAATTAGAATTTCTTAGCAATTTTTCAGAGGGAGTTCAGGACATTACACTCCAAACAGGAAATGAAATGATAAAATATAACATAAGATTAAGAATTTATAGCAAACTAAACATACCAAATTCCCTTAACAAATATATTTTCCATTTAAATTTTAAACTAAGAAGAACAATTTCAAGATTTCTTTTGTCAAACCATAATTTATTAATAGAAAGAGGTCGTCATATAAATATTACTAGAGATAATAGAATATGTTTATTTTGTGATAACTGTGTTATAGAAGACGAAACCCATTTCCTGTTTGTGTGTCCTTTTTATAAAGGCCTGAGAAAGCAATACATTCCCGACTTAAACTTATTTTCACTCAGTGATATTTTTGTAAATTATAATTTTCATAAAATACGTTCGTCTTTCTATTTATTTAAAGAAAGCATTTAAAAAAAGAATATTTTGTATGTCCCAATATGGTATAAACATATGACTTGTAAAATGGGCCAGCTACCCTCATCCCCGTTTGAAAGATTCTGGATCAGCCCCAGCTATGTGTTAAAATGTTTAAGAAACAAATACATTAAAAATACTTTTATAGCGCTTCATATCTGCAAAGAAAGGCACTTTACAAATGTTCTGATTGGATTGGATTAGATGCCCAATAATTAATCGACAATTACTGATTAAACACAAACTTGATCTGTAATGAAATTCAATACAAATATTTCTAATATTTGTTTTAATGCTTTTATGACATTGATTCTGCTAACGAGACAACCATTAGGTTTGGCGAATCTGCTTTTGCCACAATAAAACTTCTATTTTTAACTTCTATAGTTTCTGTAAATATTTTCAACCTTCAATAAAACAAGTGGAAAAAATTCAAGACAGATATTAAAACAGATTAATTGTTAATTTCCACCAACTTAAGATAAATAAATGAATGGATTCCATTTGGAGAAAAAAGAAAGTAATGCTGGTACTCACCCAATGATGATGTCACAACAATTGCAGACCTGGAACCTATTGCACATTTTGTTGCTTCAAACGAAAACACACCGTCACTCTCATTGTTTGGTAAATTTTTAACACCGAGATATACAAAATTATCATGTACCCTGTATGCTATATCGCTTTCAGTGTTAAATATTTTATTATCCGGCATGTTCTTTGAATGTTCACCTGTATCGTCATTGTTGTTGCTAGAATATCCAGTATCAGCCCATGTTACATTATCCTTGCCATACACATCCTTGTACAATATCCCGATTGTTAGATCCGTTGTTTTGCAGTTGTTGATAGCGTATCCACGAAATTCAGCTTTATTGTTCAACGATGTCAGTGGTATTAAGGAAAACAGTGTCATATCCAGTGGAACTGAAAATGAATCAACATGCTGTATATTAATAAATTCAAATATAAAAATGACAATCATGATGACAATGTGGCTGTGGTGAAAATGTTGATGGTGATGTGGTGGTGATGTGATAGGCTAGTTGTGGACATAGTATGGGTGTGAGGATAGTTTGTTTGTTTTGTTTGGTTATTTATAAATGCTCCACACAATGTGGATAATTTCGAGAATATATACTTAACAATAATAAAACAAATAAAACCATAAAATGATGTTGTAATGGGTAAAGGGTGATGGTAATTGTCATTTGAACAGGATGGTGGTGATAATGATTATATTTATTATAACAAAAAGCAATTTACTACACTACTACTACTCAGTACTACTACTTATACTACTACTAATAATAATCTGGGCTCACGCTAACCGTTTGCCAAATCGCCACGGGCGAAAACTATTTTGGATTGGCTAAAAAAAAGTCAAATGCTTTAGCCATTTCGGCGAAAGTTTTGAATACTTTTTTTTTATTTGAGCTCATTTTTCGCTAACTCCATGCGATGCTTATTTGTGTTGTTGTATGAGTAGTCTTGCTACAAACATTATTTTTTATTTGTAATTGTTATTTTAACGCGGTCGATGCAGGGCAGTGGCTGTACGACGTCAACTAATATGAAGGCACACCACAAAAACACGAGGACCCCGATGCGATGTGATGGTGGTCAAAAGAGTATATTGTAGTACCGTTAATAATAATTTAATCAGTAATTTTGTGTTATCGTCAAATACGTAAAATACATTTAAATAATGTGGGAAATAATTTAATAATGCACCGCGTGGTGTAGTGAGGGTAATTTCGCAATCAAGGCTAGCCTAGCCTAGGGCCTAGATCGTGTGCGCTCTTGATTATCGCGGTGGCAAACGATCGGGCCCCAAGCCAATTTTGAATATACTGTAGTCCAGTAAAACTACCGCTAGCTCCCCACCTCCGATATCGTTCAAAACTAAAAAGAAAATACTGTACAAGTGTTATATAAGTTTATTAAAATATGGTGAGGAAAAAAAGATCTTACTTTCACGAGTACTCCAATCGCCCTAGCAATTTTGTTGCTGGTCAACTTTATATGCTGCTTCCAGCTTAGATTTTTATTTAGTATGACAGTGACACCTAGAAACGTGATGTTTTGTCTACGGCATACTGGAATATTGTTCATTTTAATTGTCAATTCGTCAAAATTAATATGTTTTTGTGGTGGCCTAAACACAACATAATTTGTTTTGTTAGTATATAGGAGAAGCTTATTAGCCTTAAACTAATTAAGTTTCCCTAATTCAGTGTTAATTATTAAGTTACACAGCTCTTTGTAGTGGAGTGCCTTAGTGTCAGGATCGTGACACGGATGACAAAAGTGCCAAATTTGGTACAGATATTAGTATGTGCATGCAGTTTTGAAAAATCTCTGAAGCCAAAAAAAAATCTTATTTTTGAGGTAAAAAATCACATTTTTGGGAAAAAATATGGTTTTCAATATTTTGGTATTTTTGACTATTGTAGTGCAAGACCTACCTGTACAAATAGGTTTAAAATCAATATGATCATTATGTAGTCAGAAATAAGCAAATAAAGGTGAAAAAAAAAATAAATAAAATAAAAGATTTTTTTGACGAAAAAGTCACTTTTGTAACAATCTAGATTTTAACCTTGTGTATACTAATAATTGGATTACCTGGATGACAAAAGTGCCAAATTTGGTACAGATATTATTATTATTACCATACAATTTTGAAAAATCTCTGGAGCCAAACAAAAATCAAATTATTGGCGTAAAAAATAGAATTTTTGGGAAAAAATATGGTGTTTAATATTTCGGTATTTTGACTATTGCGGTTAAGTCACGGAAGCCGTAATCTTTAGCTGTAGTATCGGCGCTGTTTCAACCGGCTCACTTGCCGGGGTCCGACGTTGGGGAGGGGTGAAATATCCCTGATGTATTATGTTGATTTTATATATACTAATAGTAGTTCAAGAAACTAAAAAATAATATTACTATAAATACCTTCAATGGCACAATAATTATAATTATATTTGTCAACTGTTTGGTCAACACATGGGTGGGTGGATGCGCAAGGTCATTGTTATTCTGAGAGAACACCTCTCGGTGGACCTTAATTATTGATACTAATGTAGGCCTACTGGTCCTGTCATACTAAAGAATAGCGAGTCTCTATTAGTGAGTCGCTAAAATATAAGGAGACGGGAGTCGAATTGCTTATGTGGATGTTCACTTATGGAAAGAAATGCCTCTGTTGCTGCCGGGGGTGGTGGGGAATAGATAGAATATTTTCAGGCTTGCCAATTGCTCTTCCTTTTCCAATAAATGTGGTATATCACGCTCTGTAAAATTAAGGAAAAGGGGTAGGGCACTGGGACATACAGTACTTTCCTCAAACTATTTGCACAAATTGTAAAATAGTAACAGTAAGTGATGTGATATCGCCACTGCAGAGGTATATTGATGTAAAGGACATAAAACGCTTCTTCAGAGGTCCCCCACAACAAATTTAAATAGAATGTTTACAAATTATTGGTTTCAGAAATCCATTATACTGTTTAGCTCTCAAAACGCTATTGTTGTAACTTTTGTACACAACCCCCAATGCTGGACCCTCAAATTTCTAAAGGTTCACTTTTTAAAGCCCATTTTCACTATCGTTCCTAATTATGGCCAAATGCTGTAGTATGCATTTCATTTGCCATCTCTTCTAACTGTTAATATTTAATAACTGTGTTACAAATTTGATATTTTGCGGATTTATCCATATTAACAATGTTACTTCTAGGCATACAGATGTTCAAGTGTCAGGACATGAAGCGTTACTTCTTCAGGTCCCAAAGAACCCCAAAATGCAAATTTAAATAGCATAATTACTAAATTATGGGTTTCAGAAATCCACTATAGGCCCAAAGCTTTTCCCCAAACTACCACCAAGGGCACTGCCCTTTATCCATCTGGGGCCATAGGTGGCATACAGACTAAAGACCATGTTGCTAGCAAAACGCATCCCCACCCCCATCGAAACTGTCACGGGAGGAAATGTGCATCCTTACAGGCCTTGATAGATTATGGGTGAGCCCAGTGGGGTTCAAAATCAGGCGATCATTATCTATGGCTTTATGAGAGCGTCTAACTACTATAGAAAAACAAAGCCCAAACCTCTATTTTTACCAAAAAATTAACTGTATTCATCCCAGGTGAAATTTTTGATTGATTGAAATATTTTTTTAAACCGTCTGTCATATTCTGACACTGTTACTGATCAGTAAGTTATAATATATAACATAGGCCTACATGGCATATCAGGATATAGTTTAAATCTCAACAAAACTATATCTTTTTTACCAAAAATAAGATTTTTAACCAAAAAAAATGCCAAAATTGGGATTTTTAAAAACCTTTACGTAAGATTCTGATATGTTTGACTAGTAAGGTATATATATTGGTTAAAATTAATTTTTTACCTACCAAGAACTGCAATTATAGTTTTATATGTAGACAAATCTCAATTTTTTTACCAATGTCTTTATAAGATTCTGATATATTATTGACCATCGAGGTATAATACTTTATTGGTTAAAATGTATTTTTACATACAGAGCATAGCAGTATAAATGTCAAAAAATCTATTTTGTACCAAAAAACGTCATTTAAACTAAAAAATAGGAACAATTGGGATTCTTTAAGACTGTTATGTCAGATTCTGACACATTATCGATCAGTGAGGTATGATAGTGGTTAAAATATATTTTTACATGCAGAGCATATTAATTATACTTTAAATGTCAACAAATCTATATTTTTTAACAAAAAAAATCATATTTTTAGCCTAAAAATGACCAAAAATTGGGGGTTTATGTCAGGATTCTGACATCTTATCGACCAGTGAGGTATATACTTTTGATTAGAATATATTTTTACATGCAACGCATATCAGGTATAGTTTAAATGTCAAAAAAAATATTTTTTTCCAAAAAATAATGTTTTTAGTCCAACAAATGTGTCAAAAATTTTTTTTTGGTTTCAGAGATTTTTTTTTGAAAAGCATGTTGATGAAACTATTTCAATCTTATATGCTTATTGTGAAAAAACAATGACCATATAGATTCTAAGCCTGTTTGTACAAGTAGGTCTTGCACTATAATAGTCAAAAATACTAAAATATTAAGAACCATTTTCTTCCAAAAATTCTATTTTTACACCAAAAATTCTATTTTTTACCCCCAAAATTTTTTTTTTTTTGGCTCCAGAGATTTTTCGAAATTGTATGCCCATACTAATATCTGTACCAAATTTGGCACTTTTGTTATCCAGGTAATCCAATTATTATCCTATGCACAAGGTTAAAATTTAGATTAATACAAAAGCGACATTTTCGTTCAAAAAATCTTTAATTTTCTTTATATTTTTTCATTTTTATTTGCTTATTTCTGACTAAATAATGATCGTATTGATTCTAAACCTATTTGTACAGGTAGGGCTTGCACTATAGCAGCCTAAAATACCAAAATATTGAAAACTGTATTTTTGCCCAAAAATGCAATTTTTTACCCAAAAAATAAGATTTTATTTTTGGCTCCAGAGATTTTCTTGAAAACATGTTGATAAAAGTATCTCCACCAAAAATTAAAGTTTTGTCATCCGTGTCACGATTCTTCCATATTTTGACGTTAAGGCACTCTACTATTGAGGTCACTCCTACATTTGATGCTAGTTGTGTCATCAGCAAAACTAATTATATCGATTGCAGTACATTAATTGTAAATATCGTTTATGCAAATGAGAAACAATAGCGGCCCCAGCAGCGAGCCTTGTGGTACACCAATTATATTTGTCTCTTTTAAACTTGATTCTGTGCCATTAATACAAACATACTGTTTTCGGGATTTCAGGTAGTTTCTGAATAATGACAATGCAATACCCTGACAGTGTAGTGAGACAGTTTGTTTAATACAATACCGTATAACATCAAATGCTTTTGATAGAACCATATATGTTGCAATTGCATATTGTTTTCTTTCAAAAGCACTTAATACTTTATAAACCAAATCAATTACAGTATGTGAGGTTGAATGTTTATTTCTAAAACCATACTGCAATGATTGCATGCTTTAAGGTTTACCTGCGCCAACAAGTTCGAATCTTAAACTGATGTGTCCATGCCAGCTAATTGGATTGATACGGATGAATTGAGCGTAGACAACAGAGTTGAATACTTTTTTCACCTGGCTGTTATAATCAGAGTTTGCACTGAAAGACTAAAAGTAATGTGATTATGTTAAGCATACATTCCGCATTTTATGATACTCGTCGCATAATCTATCAATTGATTATAAAAACATACCTTAACTTGGCCACTCGATCCCAATACTGGTAAGAAGATGCTACCATTGGTACTGTAATTTACTTTGTATGATTTGACCCACTGATCACCTTCACTGCGCCCTTGTGTTATTACTCCAATCACACCTTTTATAGCACCAAGATCGGCTTGAATCCACTGATCCTGGGTGTTAGTTGCTGCTGCCCAGGCTCCAGAGCCTCCTTCATCTGCTACTGTGTTGAGCCGTCCTCGATCAGCCCTCAAATCATCATTGTATTTGCTGGATGCTGTCAGACGGACAGTACCATCTTCAACCCCAAGAGTTAGACATGAATCTGTAGAGTTGTTTAATTAATTTTAATCAGGCCTTGTCACAATGAGCAAATTGTGATATAAATGTATCGTTTATCAACATTGCTATTCACCAAAAAAAAAAAGGAAAATAGAGAGCTCTTAGGGGAAGACTTCAAGAAGCTATAATTTCAATCCTATTTGGTTGATTAAAATCTTTTCTTGAAATTTATGGGAAAATAATTTAATCATTGTGTTAAGTACTGGTATATTAAAGTATCACTAGAAAAAAATACATCCAAAAGTAAAATTAATTAAATTCAACATCACATTATTTGTTTTTAATTAAAAAAAATTATAACTTGTGTGGAATAAAACTAACAGTTTTACTGTGAAGAATTAAGATTTTATTCATCCAGATCCTCATTTTTAGGATTGTAGGAGGGGTTTGTAGTAAGTAAAGAAACATAATTTTAAACACTCAAATAGGGTGTCTATAAAAACAAGACCGAAGCCCCAAAAATGAAGACCCCTATTTTTTCTCTTTTATTTTATAGATAATAGGCCGGTCTGTCACAAAATATAAATTACGAGAATATTTGGACGTCTGAAATTTTCAAGTGTCTTTATTTTATAGACACCCTATGTGAAATTTTCAAGTGTCTTTATTTAATAGACAGCCTATGGTTGTCTAAAAAACAAAGACAAAGACATAAAAAACCATCCTCCATTTATTTCTCACCCATCTTATTGAAAGTATTTAAAAATCATCATAAAACTATTGCCAAGTATCTCTTTTATTATTTCATGTGAATAAAATGAGGAATATCAAGAAATTACTAAGGATATTCCTTTTACAGACACCATAAATATGGGTGTCTTGAAAACAAAGATCAAAGTCCCAAAAAACGAAGACCCACATTTTTTTCTCTCCAATTTTAATGAACACATATCAGACTATCACAAAATCAAATTTACGAGATTATTTGGACGTCTGTTTGTGAAATTATCAAGGGTCTTGGTTTTATAGACACCTTATATGAGTGTTTACAAAACGAAGACCAATTCTGAAAAACGAAACCTCCATTTTTTTTCTCAATTACCTTTTTGGAAACATTTCGAAATAATTATAAAACCATTGCCAAGTTTCCCATCATCATCTCCATGGAAATAACATGAAGAATATCAAAGATCACCAAAGGTTTTCGTTTTACAGACGCCCTACACTACTGTATGTGGGTGTCTGAAAAACAAAGAACGAAGACCCGAAAAACAAAGACCTATATTTTTTCTCTTTAATTTAGTGATACTAGGCTAAACACCAGGATGTCACAAAATTAAAATCAAGAAATTATTTGGACAATGCATTTTGCACATGCATCACTATACAACGTTTATTTTAACATGAAAAAAGTTTAGGAATGAAATATTAATAAGATTCTTGCAGGCCCCCACCCTAGCACTAATGACCCGTCAAAGTGGCACAAAGGATTAAAAATTATGACAAAAATAGGAGTCGAGAACAACTTATAATTTCTGTACTTAAGTTGCGAGATGGAAAAGATAATTGAGAATTGTGTTATCGAACACAATTCTATTTTGGTACTAGAGAGGGCGTAATTCTACCTCTCGAATCTTGGTTCCACGAGGAACATCCCCTGGCCTCAGAAATAGTAAGATCGACTTGATGAAATGCAGAACATGATAACCAGCCTTACTAAAGCGGTGAATAACATAAGTGCGGGCCCATCCAGGGTGACAGCAATGACGACACACTTCTGTCCTCAGGAGGCTTACTAAATAGCACACAATCCTGTGAGCCTATAGAGGCCCCTGAGCCAACTTCAATCGCAACTTTTAGAAGGGGGGCTTAGCACAACTTTCCTCCCACTTACAATAGCTGAAAGTGATGCAGTAGAAAATCCACTCAGACACTGTGGGTATCAAGGCTGGTGTGCTAGTCTCAGACAAACTTAAGGCAAAGATAAAGGAGTACAAGTATGTTGATTTTTTAGAACTTGCCAAACCAGAACAAAGGGATACATACCATACACACCTTACAATACAATGGCGGTCCTCAAATGGTGCCAAAGACCAGAAAGCGCCAGCTATCTGAACATGAGTGGACCATTGTTTTTTATGACTTTGCTACTATTTACATTAGTTTCTACCCAGGGGACATGCAAGATATATTTACCTATGCAAAACAGATAAAACTCATGATGAAAAACAATCCCAACACTTGGCGATCTTATAACGAGGCATTTATAAGAGCTAGGGAACACACAAAATGCTCTTGGGCTACAGTCCGGGGTGACCTTATACATAACCTGTTAACACATTCACAACAGGCGACACAGCACATCTATCGTCCCCAAAACAATTTTCGTTCTTATGGCACATGCAACAGAAAAACCTACTACCGCTCTCGCTTTGCAACACAAACACCCATTGGATATTGCCAACTCTATCATTGTCCATCACAAAGGCGTACAAGACCACAACATTGTAAATATTCCCACAAGTGCTGCAAATGTCATGATGACCAACCACATCCAGTATAATCCCCCATCAACACTTTAATACCACCAAAAACAAACAACTCACAACAAAGACTCCCAGCTCCCCACACCAATAAGAGTAAGTAAACTAGCCAACCTCCTCAACAGCTATGATGGAAGAGATCACTTAGTCAATGGATTTAAACATGGGTTCCATTTACACTATGAAGGTCCCGAAAACGGTTTCAGCTAGAAATTCTTCAACTGTACTAAGCAAAGCTGAAATTATCAATAATATGGTACTCAGGGAACTGGCGATTGGAAATGGCGAATTGCGGGACCATTTGTTTCTCCCCCATTTAAAAACTATTGCATAATCTCTCATACCCATATGATGAGCGATCTGTTATCCATAATATTCCACAACTACAAAAGATAGTGCACAACGAAAAAATTTCAACAGCAATCAACATAATCCAAAAGTCTAATTATCCCGCTTACATTGCAAAAAGTGACATAAAAGATGCTCTTTCAGGCCATATCACACTTAGGGAGATGCAATCTCTTACTGGGAAACTCCAGTTCGCTACCTGTGTATAATTAAGTTTGGGCGAGCATTTCTTGCCATAATGTACACACTTACTCGGGGGAAAACAAACCGATGCCATACTCAGCATCACTCCTGGGGTACGGGAAGATCTAATTACATGGTGTAGGTTCCTAGAACACTACAATGGAACCACACTAATTAAGAAACTACATAAACACAACTCGCTGCCTGCCTTCATTTCTATTCCGACGCATCAAAAAAAAGGATTTGGGGGAACATTCAACACCAGTTGGATACACGGTACATGGCCAGACAACTGGAAAAATTTGGATATCATGGTATTAGAATTATACCGTGTACCTTATGATATCACTGTTCGCGACACAATTGGCAAATACACACGTTGTATTCCATACTGACAACATGCCAAATGTCTATCATATCAATGGAAAAACCAGCTCAAATGCAAATGTCATGCACATAATCAGGCCATTGGTATTTGAACTGCTTATACACAATATACATTTAACTGCGCGGCACACACCTGGTGTCAAAAACGTCCTAAGTGATACTATTTCCCGTTCACAGGTAACTCCGGAGTTGCTGGAAAAATTCGGAATGCACCCATCACCCCTGCAAGTACCTCACCACCTCCTACCAGAGAACTTTGTCACATTCAAACCAAATTGATCCAAACGTCAATAACCTCCGGAACAAGGAAGTCTTACTGCAGATGTTGGGAACTATTCATAAAGTTTTTAAAACTTATACACCGACTTCCCCATCATATACCTATGCCTTCAAAACATGTTTCACTCTTTGTATGCCATCTTTTTAAACCATTTTTCACAATCAGAACATACCTCAGTTCTATAGCCTTCATGCATAAAATTAAAGACAAACTAGACCCAACCACCTCACCGTTAATAGCAATCATAATTTGTGGCGCTGACAAATGTTCAGTTGTAACACACAAACGCAAACCACTCCCAATAACCACAGAGATTTTGAAGAATCTGATCTTACATCTACAGCTCACAACGACCAATGAATACAAGTTGAAACTATACAAGGCTCATATATTCCTTACCTGTTACTACATGTGTGCAAGAGCGAGTGGTAGTGCTCACCACTAATCCACAACATGTACTTAAATATAAAGATGTAGAAATAAACAACCACCACATTTAAATACGATTCCAGTCGCACAAACACCACAAGGGGGTCGCACAAGTATACACTACTAATGCAAAACATAACAGTGCACAATGCCCAGTCGATGCGTTGAGACTTTATGCGTTAGACCAAAAATTGGGGGAGAGTTTTTTGTATTCAAAAAGGCAACCCCCTACATAGGAAGCACCTCAGCCATGTCCTCAAACAAACTGCAGTACATGCTTGACTAGATCATTTGCGCTACAATACCCACTCATTCAGATCGGTAGAGCTACACAACTTCATACCATGGGAGCCGGAAACGAAGAAATTCAGCAAACTGGCCGGTGGAAAAGTGATGCCTACAAACGATACATCCAGCCTGGTTGTATAAAATTAAGCAATAACTAAAGGGGTACAGTTACACTTGAACAGGTATCCACCTAGACAGTGCCTGCTTCATTTCTTGTTGCTAAACTTGCGGGAAAGTACTGTAATATATTAGCACATTACACTAGCTTAGACATCAGCCCAGGCTGTGCTTTGTTATTGATAGTTGCTGAATTTGACTAAGTGCAATGTTACTGCATTCTCATAGAATAGGCATCAGCCCAGCAGTGTTTTTGTTATTGTTATTTACTGATTTTTGACTAAGTGCAATGTTATTTGCATACCACTGAATAGGCATCAGAAAAAATGAACACTCGACCGTATTGCACGTTACCGGAAATGTTATATGTAAATTGGTATAGGTATAGATCTAATATGATTCTGAACTAAACATCACATGGATGCTCTGAGAATATAGCCCGCGGCAGTGCCCGAGCACCACCAAGAACAGCCCATGTGAGTGCAGAGGAAACGGGAAAATATTGACAATATTATACCTAATGAAAATGATGATTAAATACGAATACAAAAAGAAAACCAACATGCACATACACTATGGCTATTAAAAATCCGTATTTAGTTATTATTGATTAACATTATCCTATGAGACAAATAGTTGAAGGTAAGAATACTAAATCTGATGACATGGGCTAAAGCCCAACACAACAAGTGACAACAACAATGATCAATGGTTGTAAAAGTATGTGTATTCTTATCTTACGTTTATACAGTGATTGCATGCTTAGGTAAGGTTTACCTTCATTGCCCAGAAGCTCGAATCTTAAACTGATGTGCTTTTTCCAGGTAAATGGATTGATACGAATGAATTGAGTGTAGACAACAGAGTTGAATGTGTTTTTCACCTCGCTGTTATAATCAGAGTTTGCACTGAAAGTCTAAAAGTAATGTGATTATGTTAAGCATATATTCCGCATCTTATGATACTCGTCGCATAATCTATCAATTGATTATAAAAACATACAGTACCTCAACTTGGCCACTCGATCCCAATACTGGTAAGTAGTTGCTACCATCGGTACTGTACTGTACTTTGTATGATGTGACCCATTGATCACCTTCACTGCGCCCTTGTGTTATTACTCCAATCACACCTTTTATAGCACCAAGATCGGCTTGAATCCACTGATCCTTATTAATAGTTGCTGCTGCCCAGGCTCCATAGCCTCCTCCATCTGCTACTGTGTTGAGCCGTCCTCGATCAGCCCTCAAATCATCATTGTATTCGCTGGATGCTGTCAGATAGACAGTACCATCTTCAACCCCAAGAGCTAGACATGAATCTGTAGAGTTATTTAATTAACTTTAGTCAGGCCTTGTCACAATGAGCAAATTGTGATATAAATGTATCGTTTATCAACATTGCTATTCACCAAAAAAAGGAAAATAGAGAGCTCTTATGGGAAGACTTCAAGAAGCTATAATTTCAATCCTATTTGGTTGATTAAAATCTTTTCTTGAAATTTATGGGGAAATAATTTAATCATTGTGTTAAGTACTGGTATATTAAAGTATCACTAGAAAAAAATACATCCACAAGTAAAATTAAATAAATTCAACATCACATTATTTGTTTTTAATAAAAAAAAATTATAACTTGTGTAGAATAAAACTAATAGTTTTACTGTGAAGAATTAAGATTTTATTCATCCAGATCCTTATTTTTAGGGTTGTAGGAGGGGTTTGTAGTAAGTAAATTAACATAATTTTAAACACACATATAGGGTGTCCATAAAAACAAGACCGAAGACCCAAAAATGAAGACCCTTTTTTTCTCTTTTATTTTATAGACTAGCAGTTTCTAATAGAAAGTAAAATGCTGCGAGTATGCAATTCATGTAAATACTAATAGATATTTCAGTACATAAAAGGGTGTACTCATTTTTAGTTTTAGTATTAAAGGCTGGTAGAAATGTAAGATTTGGTGACTTATAACAATAGGTTTCAAAAATTTTGTTTACAATGCTACAAAACAACATAATAATATACTAATAGACATGTTAGTAGTCGATCTTGTTTTATTGTTAACCACAGTAGGCTTCACTGTATTTAAATATGTATTAAAAAAAAAGTGTTATCCACAATTTTAGCCTTCACAGTATTTAAATCTGTTTTAATGAAAACATATTTAAAACTTTTTAATATTTTCTCAATATTTAAATCTGTTTAAAAAAAGTACATGCCTCACAGAAATTAAATCTGTTTTAAAAAATGGTTTGTGCATATTGTGCTTCTCAGTATTAAAATCTTTAAATAAAAATAATGCTTTATCTACAAAATGCTTTTCATTTTTTAAATAAATGCTTTATCCACAATATGCTTTTCAGTAATTAAATAAATGCTTTATCAACAATATGCTTTTTAATATTTAAACTTGTTTAAATACTGCAGTATTTAAACCGGTTTCGAAATATCTTCATCAGGTAAATGACATAATCTCAGATCGTTTCGTCATCGGCCGATGTCATCCGATGACGTGCACCCTCTGTTGGTATTTGAGGTCTGTTCCCTGGGATGGTGTAGAAGGTCATTGTATATACGCTATATGTGATAGCGGGTAGGCTCCTTATCACCATTCAAGTTGTTACTTTGCGATGCTGCATATGTGGGAGAAACTACAAGACCTCTACATACCAGACTAGCCAAACAAAAAGCAGATATTACCAATAATACAGGAGGGGTACACACAAGGGCAGCTCACACCTCAACATCATCTGTTTTCCAATAAATCAAATATAAAAGACCACATGGTCAGACATAACCACATAGCAAACTGGAACACTACCAAAATACTACAAAAAGAATCATCCAGACTCCAACGCACGATCACAGAAGTAATATGGATAGGAAAGAAAAGTTACAACAGGAAAAGAGATGAAAGAACCTATGAGCTGTCACATATTATTTACAATAACCTTCTACACCAACCCAGGGAACAGAGGACACACTATAGACATGTGCAACCACCGACAACCTGCAAACAAAAGTACATGTGTAAATTGACATATCTGTTACCAAATTCACACATAAAATCTGTTTTACTAACATATATATTCAATATAATTATCGATTACTATTATTTTATGAGACATTTTTTTAGATGTTGATTTATCAGTTATAGATATTTGGATATTAATATACACCTACCTCCAAATACTGTATTACGTTAGGCCTAGCCTTAAATAGAAGAGACTAGCAAACTTCAGCCTAATTAATTATATGCCCAACCATAGCTAGCCTCAAATACTCATAGAAACATCACTTATGATGACCCTAATCAACACTTCTAGCATTAATTATCATCTAGCATTAATTAGGCAATACAGACACGTAGGTGTTTGAAAATACAGTACTTTACCAAATCAATTTCACAGGATACATGTGAAACTGACAAACTAATTATCATGTGCAACCAACAATCTGCAAACGGAAGTACATGATTGTGTAAATTAACATGTAGGATTGAAGCGCAATATTTGTTACCAAATTCACACATAAAAACTGTTTTACTATATATATATTCAATATAATTCGATTATTATTATTTATTCGATATTTTATTAGACGTTGATTTATTAGTAAAAGATATTTGGAGATCAAAATACACACCTACCTCCTTAAGTATAATCATGAAAAAATATTTATCATCACAAAATTACAATATGGCGTATATATGATGAGCCACATACAGACATCAAAATAATCTGGCAATAGAAAAATAATGCTGTTCGTTTAGACACCTGGCCCTAACTTAACCGAGGCCTAAGCCTAGACTTACCCTAGGTAGAGAAGCTAATGATTGAAATACCCAATATTAGGTTAGACCTACAGTAGGCCTAGCCTCAAATTGAAAGACTAGCCACATTCCGCCTAGGCCTAATTAAATAATAAAAAAGCACAACCATAGCTGCACTAAAATCTCACAAACAGGACACAATCACACTGTCAGATCTAAACATCACTAACATTTTCTCTCATAGGGTCTATTTCTTGATATAACATCTCATACTGAATTTGATGCAACAGGTTGCTGGTCTCCTCAACGATAACATGAGGATTTACATTCTCCTCTTCTTTATGGGCTTCACTCTAAAAAACATAAAAATTATTAACTTATTTGTAAATATACGCTAAAAGAAGCTTGTGATCACTTGAAAATATCAATGCTAAAATAATTGTTTTTAAATATATATATAACTTTAACAACCCTTAATTATGTAGAGTGACACCTACCTCTGCTGGTATATTATCGAAGACACTGTGGAATTCTCCAAATGGCCTGAAAACCACAACTGGAAAGGTGTTCGTCCAACTGTACATATTCGATGATTGTTCCAAGCTGCTGTCCACTCCTGTAGAGATGCATTAATCCTCAGTCTAAACACATACTGCAGAGCAAAGAGCTGAGTACTTCATCTAAATAATCCAGACCACCTTCGTCTTCAAGATGATAATAATGGTGCAAACATCCCTCAAAAACATACTTCCAAAGTCTCTCAATTCGCTGATTATGAGTGCTTTTTCCAACTAAAGCAGACCTATCACCTAATATAAAAAAACATACTGTAGGTCAAGTATTACAATATACTGTAAAAGATGACATCACCCAAATAAACACCACCCACCTCCTCCCCCAGGCCTTATTTGGAACAAACAGCGTTTATTAATAAGTACAGCATTTTATTTTAAAATCCTCCAAAAAGCGGTCTAATTTAACATTTGTATTAAATCAATACCATTTAAATATCAAATACAAGTGTAAATTTACAATAAAAGAGAAATGAAAAACAAGTATTGCACAACAACATTAAAGTTGCAATAATAATTAATAACCTACCTAGGAATAGACAACTACATTATATCAAAATACCAAAGCGATCAACTTCCCTTCTAAGTGAACTTTAACTATGAACTATCATTTAAATATGGTATATTATTATAATAGTTAAAAACAGTGATGAAACTATCCTTTAATACAATTTACTCTGTTGGAAGGTATGGCAAACAAGTGTTTACTAGAAGAGCCAGGTCGATTAATTTTAAGAGGAAGAATGAAAGAACATAACATATAAATATAGTATTATTATTATAATTATTATTGTAGTACAACAAACAGAATTAATGGATTTCTTTAAAAAAAAAAAACCATTAGTTCCTCATGTGGTATTTAAAATTACTACAGTATTTGGTGAGGGTGATTACTGTAAGTTATTTACTATGTTCTAGATATACTGTAGTAGAAAACGTGATATCATATATAGAGAAATAAGATTAAAAAAAACATAAGATTCAAACTGAAGCATTATTTAAATCCCGGAGAAGGTTGAGATTTCATTCTTTATAAATCCAATCCCTCTACCATTATGTACCAGTTTCAACATTTAGTACAGTTGAACTTACCTAAGTCGACTTTGCCTAAGTCGAACTTAAATTACATGCCAAATTGTTGTGTTTTTCATTACTTACCAATCTGTTAGTCAAATTTTAAGAACTTGAATTTTTCAATGGCATTTTGGATTCGACTGTAAAAGTTCAACTGTAAAATAAATATGATATGGCTTGTTTCAAGGTTCTATCCCATTAGCCTGTTAAATAAATTTCTAAAATCAACATCTTGAATTTAAAAAATGTTTACCTTGTATTTCTCTCATGTACTCCCAAATTCCAAACATTTTCTCCTCCCGCATCTGTGCGCACGCAAATGGGTAATCCATACTTCTCTACTCCTTTGTGGAAAGCAGCCAAAGCAGTTGATGATCTGTTCGTTGCACACTCTAAATGAACAGGCAGTCTGCTAAAGCCATCTACACCACCGTGGATTACAAACCCCCACCTTAAACCAAAATGTAAATAAAAATTGGTGAAGGCACAATAACTACAGAACAAAATCACCAGTGGCGTAAGCCAGGGCAAGGCCCCCTGTTGCTTTCTCACACTGGGACACTTTGCGGGCCCTGGTTGTTGGATTTTAAATGTGCTCGTTCTCAATCATTGGCCCAGCCACCAGAAATACACACAACAATTATGCAGTTCAACAACAATATAAAAATTCAAATAAATATGAATACTGTATGATGATGACCATGAAGATGATGGATGATGATGATAATGAAGACGACGATGAAGACGATGATGACGATAAGGATGGTAAAAATGGCAATAACAAACAACAGTTATCACTACTTCATCTTTGATTGTACCTTATTAATCTGTGGTTGCCATCTATGTGCCACAAATTAATCCCACAACACTGTATATTCGTCTGTGAAGAGTCCTTTTACGTTGTGTTGCCAAGCCTTCATTGATATACTGCTTCTCTCATAGCCTTCCTGGGAACTAAAATGCCTCTTTCATGGAGAAATCCCTTCATTATAACCCCACCACAGTTTGAAAGTGTCTTTAATATTTCCTCAATGTGCCCATCTAAAGTATCATTGTCAATGTCACTATATTGCACAGCAGACAAATTGTACATTTGAAACCTTCTTAATACAGTGCTACGACTTACGCACATCAAGTCTGCAACATCTGATGCACCGTGTATCAGACCTGCCAACCCTTGGGTCATGAAAATCTGGAGATTTTTTTAAGAATCTTAAAAAAATCTGGAGATTTACCAAAAAATCTGGAGGTTTCCAGAATTACCCAAAAAATGATGCAAGATACCAAAAAAGTCACGTCACTACAAGTCATTGGCTAATGGTGACATTCAAATTGAAAATGGTTACTTGTTTATTGCACCGCAAAGTGAGCAGGCGGCGAATACATTGAATAATAAAGATCAAATCAATCAAATTATGCATAAATCGGAGTATTTTTGGGGAGGGGGATGGCCTGTGAAATCGGGTGAAAATTACATTCGATCGGGAGAACTGGAGATTTGTTTAAATATTGGGTGACACCCGACAGGATCGGGTGAGTTGGCAGGTCTGCTGTATTCTTGGCTGATCAGACTTTGCAAGACATCTCTGTCAATTTATGTTGCTATTGATGGATGCAACACATTCTGGAACAATCTTTTAATATTTTCTTGGTTGAATACACGAAGCTTTTCAAATTCCTCACGGCTTATAAATTGATTCACTGTCAACAGTTACCTACAGCTCAAACAAGAATTAATATTATAATAAAAAAGTAAATAGGCCTAGGCATGGGCTAGGCATAGGCATGAATACAGATCATTTCGGTCTCGCCTTACTTTGGTCGCGCTTCATTACGGTCGCGGTTTGTTTTCAACAAATATATGGAGCGCCAATGGAGTTTTTAATATAACTAGGCCTTTAAATTATCATTGTAATTTCGTTAATCGGTTTATCATACTTTTTTTTTAATTTATGTTTTGTAGTCTTTCTACTAAGTAACAACATATAGTACAAGCAAATAAAATGAGTACTATTATTACTAAACTAAATTTCAATTAATATTATGGTATTTATAGGTTATTTTATAGTTTGTAGCATTCCTAGTACCATTTTACTCTTTTATCGGACGGCTTTTATTTTCGTTTTGTTATCGATTCTACGCTTCCTTCTACATAACAAATACAGCAAATAAAATGAATACTAAAAATTTGGTATTTCTCTTATGTACGGTATTGTTTTTTGATATCATTATTATTCTTTCTTTAGGCACACAACACATGTGCCAAGGATTGCCAATAGCAAATATATATCACTGTCCTACAGTGGAGTTGAATAGCTTGGTGGTTAAGATGCTTGCCTTCCAATCCCAGGGTCCTAAGTTCAATTCCTGCCAGTTGCAGGATTTTTTCTCATGACATAAACACCTCCACTCCCTAAATCTCATATTGAGATTTAGTTTGTGTAAAGCATCGTGTGTGTGTGTATGGCGTTGAGTCCTTGTAAACTAGCAATAAAGACAATATAATACAACAGTATAACTCATAGAACAGAATTTAATTCTTTCCTCGTGGTTCTCTCTCTGTGGCAACTCCTGCCCTCAACATCGGTATTGTCACACAGGACAACAGTAAGAACACCACATTTCCCCCTCTCTAAAAGCAGAAACTATAATCACAGTAAAAATGACTGTATACCATACAAGGTACAATGTAAACTCAGTTACTATAACAATAAACACTTCTTTTTCTTACTGGTACCCATAACATAGTCACAAGTCCATCTAGGTGGATTTCTAACTCTCTTACTCCTTGAGAAACGTGAACCTAATTGAGTTGAATTGTTGTTCATTGAATCATCAGCAGTTGGAAAAATTATAAAGTCACTACTGTGATCATCACGACTATCTCCCCGTCGGCCTAATAGGGTTGGCTTTCCTAGAAATGGGGCTAGGTGTTTCACATTCCATTTTTGACCATTGGTCATTACGTAAGTGTTTAGACCAACATGTTGTCTAATTTCCACCGGTTCAGTAAATTTACTCTCACCCTTGTGGACATTCCAGGGCTTTTTAATTCTAACAATATCTCCCGGGGAAAAAACTCTAGTTTTGACGCACTTCCGTTTGTCGTACGCCTCTTTAGACTTTGCTTGCTTTGCTTTTGTTCTATTGTCTATTTCGACTGAAGACATTTGCTTAGGCGATGTTGTCACTCCAATGATATCTAACAAAGTCAACATATGACGCCCGTGTAGTACCACAGAAGGGGATTCCCCAGTAGTGGCATGTCGCGTAGCGCGATAAGTACCTAGAAATTCCGTCACAGCATTTTTTACTGGACGTTTATCGATTCGCGCCGTTTGAATAGTTTCATTCAAAATCCGGTTAACAGTACTATTTCCTTCTGGGTGATACACCGCAGAAAATCTGTGTTTGATGTTACGTTTTTGCAAAAAAGTTTCAAACTCCTGGCTAGTTAACTGCGTACCATTATCAGAAACTAGTTCTTCAGGATAACCTTCACGACTGAATACCTTATTCAAAAAAATAAATTACAGTTTTGCCGTAATATTTGGGCAAAACGCAACTTCTGGCCATTTACTTCGGTAATCGATTAATGAGATAATGTAACGCTCTTTCGCAGGTGCAGAATAATTTGGACCTACGAAATCAATCCCGAGCTTTTGCCATGGACGTTCTGGCAATTGTACCGGCTGCATAGGAGCCACTCGTGTTTTCGCAGACTTGTCAGCAATTTGGCAAGTTAGTAATTGTGTCCGTTACGTGTACGTCCATTTTAGGCCACCAGTAAAAATCTCTTAATCTTAATACCTTGATGATTTTCATGGGCCAGATTAACTAATTTGGAGGTAAGTGCTGCTGGTAAAATTAATATCATTATGAATCGAGAACTCATCTCTAATACGGGAATAGGGCTTAATGATTTCTGGAATATGCATTTTATCATTTGGCCACCCATTATGTATGTATTCTTTAAGCTGCATGCATACGTCATCATTATTTGTAGCCTGTTCTAATTCAATGCGTGTGATAGCGCTATAAGTATCGTTTAAAACAACTTGACAAACTGCATCACTGTCATCTTCATTTATCGCGGAATCGAATGTAGGAATAGGTAACCTCGAAAGGGAATCGGCAATTCTGTTCTGAACGCCTGGTTTGTACTCAACC